CTGAACAATTTAAAAAAAAATTCATTTGATCAATGTAAACATTCAGGTACCAAAAATAAATCTGTCTATATCTATGTCTATGTCTGTGACAACACACCCCCCTCCTCCCCCTCAAATAACTGTTACAGTGGAACCCCAATTGGCTCCAGATGGTGACAACTGAAAATATCAGCATAGATAACCAGTGTYTGTAATATGAGGTTAACTTTGTATTGCAGCCTGTCAATAGGGATACCGACAAGTCTCTTCCGTTGGTCGTCTCCGTTGGTCGTTAACCAGTGTCCCTACTAAACGGCATTGCGAAATCGAGGAAAGCAAGGAAACCAAAAATATATCATATACTTATTAATATAAATATAATATAAATATGAAACTGTACCTAGAGGGTAAATGTCAAGACATTGATTACACAGACTTTTACATCCTATGCAGTAAGCTTATTCTTTACCGAGTACTAAACAGTTAGGCAAGGCCGTGACTTAAATATAAATATAGCTCAAATATAGCCCCGTAGGCTTGCAATAAGGAATTGTATGCAAATTTATTTTGTAGCTGTTGATCACCTTCACGGAAAGGTAAGAAATATGCAAAAGTCTCGTAAAGAAACGAAACTGTTTTGCGACGCCATATTGAATCACACTGGAAGCCCGACGATGGCGACAGGAAGCCCAACAATAAACAGCGACAATATGCTTGCTAAAATTAAGCACATGCGCAATCATACTGCTCTCCCACGTGATTCCAGTTAGCTTCGAAAAGGTTGCCGACTTCAGTTTGTAAACTGYGAGTACCTTAAATTGCGAGAAGTTAATGACTTGTTTTTCCATCTCTGAAAAGTCTAAACTAATAAGATTTAAAAAATATTTCTATTCAAGGGTTAAGCTTTCCGTTCATTGCTATCTAAGAGATTTGGATTTGGAAAGCATTCGGTGTCCTGGGGATGGCCATTGCCTAATGCGTTCACTGCACTACAGTCTTGACAGGCAGACGGATTATGAAATTTCTCYGCTTGATCTTTTATCTAAGTGCCGCACCGAGCTCATCAAATATCTAGATGATTACAATAGTTTTTACGCCGGGAAAGATCTCATATATGAGTTTGACGAGTACGCAAACAACAACAACTTAGATCTTCAAGTGGTGGATATAGTTTTGCAAGTCATTGCCAACACGATTAATAAGAACGTAGTCGTTGCTGACGTCCGTCCAAACGATAAGATCATCGAAACAGTTTTTCCACCAAGAGCTGGATCTACATCAAGYCCAGTCTACATATTAAGAAATGGGGAGAATTTCGATGGTTTGATGAGGGAAATACCAAGACAACSAGAGGATAAAAGTCGTGAGGATGAGTGGAGCGAAGGAGAACCATAAATGGTGTTAGTGGAAAACGGARTTTTTTCTTACCGCAACTTTAAAGTAAGTATTACACTTTACTAGTCTAAGTGAAGATGTCTTCTTTATTTCAACATGAGGCACTAGGTAAGACTGTATTTTTATATCCGACCATAAGGAAATGGAGTCAAATTTGCATGTGCACAGATCTAGAGAAACACTCAAGCCCTGCCACAAGAAAAAAAGGTATTTACAATTAACTAACCTTCTAGCCTGCACTCAGTGAGTAGTTTCACTACAGAATTTGAATCTGATCATTTCAGACGACAATATGCGAACTTATGTTGAATAAGAATACAATGAGGATATCAATGATTTGAAATCGGCAATGGCGTTCTGTGATGGTA